CAAGGACAGACACTTTACCAACTGAGCCACCCAGGTGTCCCAACAAACAGCAATTTAATTTAAACCTAACTATATCAATAATCACAATAAATACAAATAGGCTAAATATTCCAATTCAAAGGCAGAGATCTTCAGATTGAATTCAAAAGGCTAGAGCCAAATCCATGCTGCATACAAGAAATGCACTTTGACTCTAATGGCATAAATTAAAAATAAAAGGATGGAAAAGATTTACCATGCTAACATTAGTCTTTAAAAAAAAAATTTTTTTTTTAACGTTTATTTATTTTTGAGACAGAGAGAGACAGAGCATGAACAGGGAAGGGGCAGAAAGAGAGGGAGACACAGAATCTGAAACGGGCTCCAGGCTCTGAGCTGTCAGCACAGAGCCCGATGCGGGGCTCGAACTCACGGACCGTGAGATCATGACCTGAGCCAAAGTCGGGCGCTTAACCGACTGAGCCACCCAGGAGCCCCTAACATTAGTCTTTTAAAAAGCTGGAGGGGGGGCTGTATTACTGTCACACAAAGTAAATTTCAGGGCAAAGAATATTACGAGGGATAAAGAACAGTTCAAATGATAAAGGGGTCAATTAATCAAGAAGTTACAATAACCTTAAATGTTTATGCGTCTCATACTAGAGCTTCAAAATAAATGAGACAAACATGGACAGAATTGTAAGAGGAAACAAATCCACAATTATAGTCACAGATTACAATACTTCTCTCTCAATAATTGATAGAAAATCAGGAAGTATTTAGAGGATTTCAACAACACTATCAGCCAACTTGATTTAATCGGCATTTACAGAAAATAAGCCAATGAAGGAGATAAAATGGGACCCTAGAAATATTTAATTAGGTCAGTCATGGCAGTCTTGTTTGAGAGTCTACACCAATCTGAGCAGTGTCTTGGAGACTTACAGGGAAGAGAGAGGAATGTGATAGTTGGAAGAACAAGACGTCTAAAGCAACAGCACAGCTAAGAAAATGGAAGAGGAATGGGGATTTTAAGAAGCATGGCTGAGACATATAAACTGTATCCCTTGCAAGTTCTGTTAAAGCATAACAGGAAAATCAGATTTGCTGTAAATTACTCCAGGTTGGGGCACGGCAGTTCACTGAATGAAACCAAAATGGAATCAGGGGAGCTCTCTATTTCATTCAAGTTTGGGTCCTCCATTTAAGGTCGAACCAGAAGGAATAATGTAATTCTAGACACAGCTCCAATGCTTACTCTCACTTGGACAAGACTGTTCACCACCCCCACGTCTGTTTCCCATATATGTAAAGTGGGAATTCATTCATTCACTTACTCATTTATGCAACCATTAGATTAATTTATTGGGCTTTTACTACCTGGTAGGCCCTGTAATAGCTACTTTGAACAAGGGAGACAAAGGTCCCTGATGACAAGGAACTCAGAGTCTAATGGGGAAGAGAGACGACAAACTAATAAACAAAGAAATATGTGATGTGTGAGTTGATGATGAGTGCTCTGCTGAAAATAAAGCAGAGTAAGAAAGAGAGAAGACACAGGTGGGCCAGGCATTCTGACATTCTGACATGGCACACAGACATGCAGAAATCAGGGTGAACCAGGTGGAAAGTTGGGTGGGGGAGAAGAGGCATCCAAGGCAAAAGGCATCCAAGGGAAAGGTGGGGCCGAGGGCCCTGAGGTGGGGGTGCACGTGGAGGTGGGGAGGAGCAAGGAGGCCACTGTGGCTGGAAGCGTGATCAAGGTCATATAGGTAGTGGAGTTTTTATCAGATAGGGCCTCGTAGCCATGGTAACAACACTGGCTTTGACTGTGAGATGGGGAATCATTGGAGGTTTTCCAGCATTTGAGTGGCAGGATCTGACTTGTGTGTTAAAAAAATTACTCCGGCTTCATGTTGGGAGACAGACTACAGGGAAGGAAGGACAGCAGGAGGGGGGCTGCTTAATCAGTAAAGGCACAAGTGAGGGAGTTAAGGGTTCAAGGCTTGGATCCAAATGGTGATATGGTGGTGGTGAGGAGAGGCTGAACTCTGGATTTCTCTCAAAGGTACAGTGAATAGAATTTGCTGATGGATGACATGAGGGGGTGAAAGTGAAAGAGAAATGTCAAAGATGACCCCAAGATTCTTGGTCCGAGCCACCTGGGTGAAGGGAGAGGCCATTTATTAAGATGGGAGGATAATGATACGTAGTCCTTGTGAGGCTGTTTCAGGGAAGAAATGAGAACATGCGTGTGAATGCACTTGCTGAACTTGAAAACACCATATGGATGTAAAATATGAAAAATAACTCTCTGAGGAGCTGCTTATTGTCAAATAGGCCCAGATACTCAGGTCTTAAGGCCCCAAAATAGTGTTGACTTTCTCACTAACATTTTTCTGCTCAATAAGGAAAGTTATTCTGAATGTCCCAGTCTACCAACAAGGACTAATTTACAGTAATTCTGATTTTTCCTTTTATGTTTTAATAAACATTAAAGTAGATAAAATTTATAACCTCAGCCATGCTTCTTGAAAATTCCTTTCTCTCTACCATTCTTTAAGCTGTAACACTATTCTGATATTTCTTTCCTTCCCTACACAATGGGGCTCGAGAAAGCTTTTTTTACGTTTAAATGGAAAAAAAATTGTAGTCCACAAGAAACTCTTTTAATTTCCTTGGGTCATCCCTTGTGGAACTAATTTTGTCCACCCCTGATTTAGGCCACAATGGGTCTCTGGCAGTGTTGTTAAGAAAGCTATTGCCTACTTTTCAGGGCTACTTTAGGCTTTCCTAGTATATTTCTTGGCAGATGGGTAATTTTTACATGGGAGTCTAGAAACACGAAATAACTGTGGAAACTGTCAGAAGTTGAGTTACATATTTCTTCTGTCATCTGCAGGGTCAAGATAGCTTGAAATGTCTCAATAATTTTACAAATGAACCAAAAGAAAAAAAATTACTGAATTCAAATCAGTTAGTTCAGTTCCCAGCAGCGTAAATGAAGAGAATGTGGGAGATGGGAGTGTGTCCCCTGGGGAAATTACTCGGTATGTAAAGTTTGCTGTGGGAATTAAATAAGGGAGTGCTTGTGAAACTCCATACTAGGTGGGGTGAGCTGCTGATCCTATAAGGAAGTTTTTTTTTTAAAAAACTGAACTTTTGAGGACAGATACATCCAATCATATTTTTGTTGTCTCTCTCTTCAGTCTGTCCTACCCTCCTCATTTCTCTCTCTCTCTCTCTCTCTTTCCCTTGCTCACTCTATCCTGCTCATGCTCCTGTTCCTTTAGCAAATAGTTACTGAGCATTTATGAGCAAGTATTTTTGCAAAAGATGAAGAATGTTTTCCTGTATGCTATAAAGACCTAACAGAATTCTCTGACCCTTTGTCTCGCAACTGGGATGTTTACATCAAAGGGGGGAAATTCCACTTAACATTTGGAATAGATGCCAGGGGTATGATCAGAAGGAGGAAAAGGCGACTTCACAACCATTTCATGACACATCTTCATGAGATGCTAACGTAACTGGGGAGAAGCTAGCTGCCCTTCATCATGATGGTGGAAAAAAGACGAAATGTGTAGCAAGGGTCTGGCTCACTCTCCCACAGCTGTCCACTGGCCGCAGGCAGAACAGCTGTGGCAAAATCCCATCTCAGGCTCTGGGAACAGCTTGGTCTCAGGATAATGCTATCCAAATTCTTCAAATCCGTGCCAGAGCTCAAGGGCAGTACGGGGTCTCCAGCTTGTTGGGAAACCTTTTCTTTCTCTGGGGTTCCCCATGCCTGACTCCCTCTGGTGCCCTGACTGGGAGGTACCTATCTTTTCTTGAAACCTTGAGCTTTCCATGTTCCTTGGAATACCAAGGCACTAACTCCCTACAACATCATTCTTTACTTCCTGATCACATGCTGCTGTGGTCTGCTCATGTGCTGGGGTGTGTACTTCCTGTCCTAACCGCTCTCTCCTGGACCTCTTTAAATGCTTCTATTTGAATGTGTCTTACTCACTGGCTAGTCCCTGGGTTTGGGTTTTTGTAGCCCCTAAACCTCTAGCACTGTAGAGCACTAAACCTCTAGAATTATAATCAATTCTCAGTTTTCATTTCCATTTTATGACTTTAAACCATCTCATGGATGCATACACCCCAAAGGGAATTAATGAGATGTTTCTAGAGGAGTTAAGCAGAATGATAGCCTGTGGCAAACGGTACCCGCAGAATAATTGAAAAACAATCCATTCCCTTCTGTTGGTTAGACATTCCCCTCCTCAGTGATATGGCCCAACTCCTTTCTAAGTGCTCACATTTACTGAGAGAGTGGTGTCCAAGCAGTTTAATTGAATAAACCATGGCATTACCCAGTTGTCAATGAAGATTTCCTGTACAAATCATTGGTTTGATCTGTGAAATGAAACTTATTTCGTTTATTCTTTTTATGCTACTTGAAATAACTGCTCATGCCTCTCAACCTTAAGAACTGAAAATGATCATATATTTCCTATGTTTTGGTCATTTTTTTAAAAGACTTCGCTGAACACTACACTCTAACACTGATTTAACGTTAATTGTTTGAAAGTCACCTATAGCACCTGCTCATGTCTCTTGGACGTGGTTGTTAAAGAAGGTGAGAGAGGATGAATCATAGAGTCTGAAAGATCTAGATGCCACTGAAAGGTACACAAAGCCAATGAAACCTCCTAAACCAGAATCACTTAGCATGCTTGAATTGCACTGGAAATCCTATTAGAAAAAAAGAAGGAAATCAATCTATTTTGACAGCACAAATGCACATCCAGTAATCATAAGAATTGAGGTTTGTAGTAAATATAAAAATCAAGAAGTTTTACAAAAGTTTTATAAAAACTGAAGTTTATAGTAAATATAAAAACCAAGAATCTCTCATGAATCCTTTATATTTCCTTCCATGCAGTTCTCTGAAGATCAGCTTTTCTTTTTAAAATTTTTAAGAAACAGATAAAAACCTCTCCCAAACTACCACTTGGAGAAGAAACACTTACCCAGAATGCTTCATGTTTTGAGGCTTATCCATTCGGACAGCAAGTTTGATTTTGAGGTCTTGATCAGGGCAGTTTTTGGAGACTGTCATTTTGTGCCACTCTGACTGTTTGGGGCTGTTTGGGGTAGGGTGGAGAATAACCTGTAGGCGAAAAGGACATCCATGTTAGCCAGAAAGTGGAGACACTGTTACAGGCATGTTGTTTTCAACAAGAAACTCTGCTGCTGAGAAGCTGCGCGTCTTGCCCAGCTCCCAGGGAGGCGTTTAAATGAAACAGAGGCTTGGCCACAGGACTGCAATTCAAGGCTTCATCTACCAACCGTGGCTGCCTCGTGCCAAGCAGAGACCAGCCAGAGGGCAGAAATGGTGTTCTCCTGCTCTCCTCTCTCTCCCTGGCTAATTCAGGAAAAGTAATGATCATGATTTCGGTCACTCTGCTTGTACATCTTTCTGAAATTTCGAAGTCCCAAAGCAACCCAGGACAGAGACTCAGGCTCATCATCCATATAAGAAGGCGGATGTATGAAAGAAAGACATGAGAGATTACACAGTAGAGCACCTCTCGTCCGCTCATTTTTCGCTCCTCAGGATTCCTTCCCCTGTCTCAGGAGGAGGAAATCTCTCAAAGGCCATGGGGAATGCGGAAGGGACTTTATGGGATGGATGAGAAATGAGAGGCCTAGGGAAGGGAGGGATCTGGCTGACAGTCACGCATTTACATAGACGGTCACACCCATGGGGCATCTCCTCAGGTAACAAACACCGAAATCTGTCCGGGTTTGAAAGGAGGCCCACACAGCAGGAAGGATGGGCTCTCAGAAAGCGTCTTTTTGACCCTGCGCTGCCGAGTTGGGGCTCCAATGTGAGGTTCTGTCTCGGAGGCTGCAAGTGAGGCAAGGAGTGGATAACTCGGGACATCCGCCTCTTCATTTTGTGACCGGAGTTGTCAGGAGCCACGTGGGGTCTGAAGAACACGCACTGGGGCAGGAGTGGAATATCTGGAAAATCCCCTGGACTGAGGGAACAGGAACTAAATGCAGGCGCGACAAAAGCTGGGCCTGCTAAGATGTGCTTTTGTGGTGGCCGCGGGCCCCGATTTGTTGCAGGCTGCTCTGGCTCTGTTTTCAAAGCATCTCCTTTCTCTGGGTGCAGGGGGAGGCCGCCTCTCTCCTGGGCTTCTTTCACCTCTGCAGGGGGAGGGGAGGGGTTCGGAGGCTCGGAGGCGGACCCTGCGGCCTTCCAGAGGCTGCCAGCCTCACTGCCCTCATGCGCCCGGCTGGCATGTAGAGGGTGGGAGCATATGGCTTCCCGTGAGGCGGCACAACAGGAGCTCGGGGCAGAGCGAGCCGGTGTGGCAGAAAAGCAGAATCGGCCCGCTCTGATAGGCCTCGTTGGTGCTGAATTTTCACCCCTTCTCCCTCCGGGCCTGACCCCTCCCCG